CACTTTCAACACTATAATTCCAACCACACTAATCTCCAAACTCCGAGACTTAGGTCCCTGCTCTGCCCTCTGCCACTGGATTCTCAACTTCTTTACCCACCGACCACCACCAGTTAGAACAGGTAACAGTATGCCCTGCAAGGCTATATACTCAGCCCCTTACAATACTCCCTGTACACTTGTGACTGTGTGGTCAAATTTCACCCTAACTCCATCTACAAGTTGACTGACGATGCCACATTGTAGACCAGATCTCAAACAATGACAAGACAGAATACAGGAAAGGAATAAAGTGCTTGGTGGTGTGGTGTAAAGATAACAATCTCTCCCTCAGCGTCAGCAAAACTGAAAAGCTGGTCATCGACTTCAGTAAGCAAGGTGGAGAGCCACGTCCCTACCTACATCAATGGTGCGGAGGTTGAAATGGTTGAGTATCAAGTTCTTAGGTGTGATAACAACCAATCTGTCACGGTCCAGCCACATTGTTGAGACGGTCAAAAAACACAACAATGCCTCTACTTCTTCAGAAGGCTAAGGAAATTCAGCATATTCCTAAGGACTCATCATTTTTTATGGATGTACCATAGAAAGCATTCTATCTGGATGCATCATGGCTTGGTGTGGCAACTGATCCACCCAGGACCGAGAGTTGTGAACACAGCTTGGTCCATCAACCAAGCCAATGTCCCATCCATTAACTCCATCTATACTTCGATGCCTCAGAATTGCAGCCTACGTAATCAAAGCCCCCTTCCACCCTGGTTATAATCTCTTCCATCGGGCAGAAAATACAAAATCTTAAATACACATACCAAGAACAGCTTCTACACTGCTCTAATTAGGCCACTGAATGGACTTCTCAAATTTCATATCTAATATTGCTTTTGCTCTTTGTATTCCTTGCTCTGTTCTATCACCTGCTGTTTTATTTCCCTTATGCACTTTGATCTGCTTGTACTGCAGGCATAACAAAACATTTCACTGCACCTAGGTACATGTGATGATAATAAATCGAATCACATAAAAAAGTGATTATCAAAATCAGTCAGGAACTTAAACCTGCTGTAGATGGGCTCAGGTCTTTTTCATCAATAAATGATCATTACTCCATAAACCAATCAGTTACTTATTACTGGTTGAATCTTCATTTGTTACAATCCTTGGCTTCAGTTCGTCTGCAAACTACACATCACCTACTGCTTGAACAAGAGCTGTGTAAATAGCCCTGAGTGTCAAGTTATTTGCTTTTAAAAACTGCAATAATCCTTCAGCAATCCTTAGTTTTTTTTAAAAACTGTTTTCTCATTTCAGTCCACAAATAAGAATACAGAAAAAAGACACGATCTTTAAAACTGTTATCACTTGAAAGATCCTTAAAATTAGCACACTGATGAGTGATAGAAAAATAAGCAGGATACAATCCTTCTGAACTTAAGCTGGGGTAACAAAAACTTGCTCTTTGTTATTGATCTTTGAACCTTGTTAAAGTAACGAAGAGGTAAAATTTAGTCCAAGCAGGCAGGGATGGTGACTGAAAGGCATGCTAAAAAGGAAATCTTTTGATGAGAAAGGAAAGTAGAACAAGATAAGGTTTTGGGGTGGGGGGCAGTAGGGGGAAAGAAAGAGGTGGAGGGGGAGAAAGAGATGCAGGGTGAGGAAGAACACCCCATGTTCTGCTCTGAAAACGTGCAAACTCTTCAAAAAGGTGAGGAAGGGGGAATGAAGATCAAAGGAGACATACTAATAGGGTGGAGACACAAATAGCAAAGGAAGGTAGAAAGGTAGTTAAAAGTAGGGAAAGGATTACAGCCTGGGAGAAACTTGTAGGCTATAATTTAAAAATCAGATTCTCTATCCCGAAGGTTAAGGGCGATGAACAAGATCTTGATGCACTACAGATGGGAGGGGTAGATGTTGATGTGTTGTCATTAGTGAAGTGCAGTACATGATCAAAGTGAACTTGGAGGTGACTAAAACTTGTATGCAGTTCAGCAATGGATACGGATAGTGACCATTAGTTGTGTTTTGATATAATTAGTTTCGGAGATGGCTAGAATGTTGGATTTGATACAGTTCATGGTCAGATGCATTTATAAAATGGTTGGACTACACCTGAGCAAAATGTTGAAGGACAGGATGGAATCATGTGAAGTTGTAGCTCTTTCAACAAAATATAAACAGAATGTCTGTAATCTTGCTTTATTTAGCTCATGCTCAACAACAATTTGACGTCAGCCAATTAGTGAAAAGGCACATTGGTGTAAAGAATACAGGACCATGACAGAAATAGGGTTCTCAGCATTCATTTGCAAACTAAACCTCAGGCCTTCAGACATACTCTCTGCTGGGCAAATAGACAAGCAAAACGGATACCAACGATCTATAGAGCACACTCAGCTGAGGCTACCACAAAGAACCCTCCCTCTGAACTTCTTCACTTGCCCAAAGCTTGGCGATCCTCAGGTTAAAACACCAGTCATCTCTCTGCACTGACATGAGGATTATGGCATCTTTACCTTTATAAATAGCACACTTAAGTGATAAGTGTCAGAACACATTACTGCAAATGAGCTAGCTTCATTGAGACAAGGAGTGGAGCAAAATAAAGGCAATATTGTAAAGTAAACCATAAAGGAGAGACATAGAACATTACAGCGCAGTACAGGCCCTTCGGCCCTCGATGTTGCGCTGACCTGTGAAACCAATCTGAAGCCCATCTAACCTACACTATTCCATTATCATCCATATGTTTATCCAATGACCATTTAAATGCCCTTAAAGTTGGCGAGTCTACCACTGTTGCAGGCAGGGCATTCCACGCCCTTACTACTCTGAGTAAAGAACCTACCTCTGACATCTGTCCTATATCTATCACCCCTCAATTTAAAGCTATGTCCCCTCGTGCTAGCCATCACCATCCGAGGAAAAAGGCTCTCTGTCCAGCCTATCTAATCCTCTGATCATCTTGTATGTCTCTATTAAGTCACCTCTTAACCTTCTTCTCTCTAACGAAAACAGCCTCAAGTCCCTCAGCCTTTCCTCATAAGACCTTCCCTCCATACCAGGCAACATCCTGGTAAATCTCCTCTGCACCCTTTCCAATGCTTCCACATCCTTCCTATAATGCGGCGACCAGAAGTATACGCCATACGCCAAGTGCGGCCGCACCAGAGTTTTGTACAGCTGCAACATGACCTCATGGCTCCGAAACTGAATCCCTCTACCAATAAAACCTAACACACCGTACGCCTTCTTAACAACCCTCTCAACCTGGGTGGCAACTTTCAGGGATCGATGCACATGGACACAGATCTCTCTGCTCATCCAAACTACCAAGAATCTTACCATTAGCCCAGTACTCCGTATTCCTGTTACTCCTTCCAAAGTGAATCACCTCTCACTTTTCCACATTAAACTCCATTTGCCACCTCTCAGCCCAGCTCTGCAGCTTATTTATGTCCCTCTGTAACCTGCAACATCCTGCCGCACTATCCACAACTCCACCAACTTTAGTGTCATCCGCAAATTTACTAACCCATCTTGCTACGCCCTCATCCAGGTCATTTATAAAAATGACAAACAGCAGTGGCCCCAAAACAGATCCTTGCGGTACACCACTAGTAACTGAACTCCAGGATGAACATTTCCCATCAACCACCACCCTCTGTCTTCTTACAGCGAGCCAATTTCTGATCCAAACTGCTAAATCACCCTCAATCCCATGCCTCCGTATTTTCTGCAATAGCCTACCATGGGGAACCTTATCAAATGCTTTACTGAAATCCATATACACCACATCAACCGCTTTACGCATGGAACAGGAAGAACAAAAAATAAAATCTCTTTCAAACAGAGGGCAGTGACAAAATGCATTGTTGGTATGTAAACCAGGTGAGTCACCTTCTAAGCCTGCAACCAGAAGGACAAGGGCAGCAATGACATGGAAACTTCAATACTTTTAAGTTCTCCTCCAGGTCACAGATGCTCTTGTCATGGAAATAAAGCACTGTTTCTTCATCGTTATTGGATCGAAATTCTGGCATGTCACAACATTATAGGTCCATCCACACAATGGTCAGCAGTTCAACGCAGGAGCTCACCATCACCTTCAAGGACCATGCTAGGTGATATTTCTTTTTCTCCCCTACATGGGGGAATTGTGCCTTGAGCTGAAGGAGGGACGGATGGAGGGACGGACAGACGGAGGAAGGGAGAGCTTAGGAATGCTATTGAGACTACATAAAGTAAATGGATTATAAAAAGGAAACACTATGTTTTTGCACTCCTTAGAAATTGTGCTATTGTGTTAGGAATGGATGGGTTACATTCTATTCAACTCATTGCACCAAGTATCTTTCTGTCTACGTTCTCCCCCAGAAATGTCGATTAATCATCTTGAACTCTTTCCATTGATGGTCACTGTGCATACTTTCCACCAGCAGACATAACTGTCTGCAGTTAATGTATTTTACGTATTTAATTATCTTGGAACCAGTGTACAAGTAAAATGACACCATTGGAGTGTGCTTCCTCTCCTGCTCTTCTGTAGTTTGTGGTCTGTACTAAGTACACTAAGAGAAGCATATTGTGGACCAAAAGGAAATGTTCAAGTATTTTGTTTATTTTTAGAAAAGCATCCAAGGAAGGTGTAAAAGAAATATTACAATTTTGTTTAAAGCATCTTCTCTGGAGAGGATAATGGTTTTGCACTAATCATTTCAGAAAAGAACTGCACCCAATAACTGTTCTAGATAGATTTGAGATATGCAAAAAATTTACACACCAGTTAGTCTTTAGTTTTGGATAAAAACTGAAGACACCCATTAGAGATGAAATGAGAAATATTTAAGGCATGGGAAATTGTCAGTAAGGGCTATGGATTTGGACAGGGAAAATATTTTATTTCTATAGCACAATTATTTTTAGTAATGAATACCAGTCGTTCGTAACAATCTTATTTAGCCTTCAACATGCTAGTAATAAAACACTGAAAAGGTTAGTTATGGACCTTTCCATTTTTATTAGTCAATTATGATAATTCTTCCAACCCAAAAGACAATACATACAGAATTCTAAAATGTCCCCAGTAAGCGTTTACAACCTTTATGTCCCATTCACTTCAAGATCAAATGAACTTTATTTTGTACAATATCTCAAAAATAAGATTGTAGTAATTGTTTAATTTCCCAATGATAAATTTACTCCATAAAACTTTGAAAGATATAGATGAGGATAAAATATCACAGGCAGCACACCTTATGAAATGGAGGAAAACCACAGGGGAAGAAAAAAGGTGATGCAACCAAAGATTTAATTCCCTCCTTTTTAGTACCATGGAGGTACTATAACAATGTAGTCTTGCAGTAAAAACAATGGAATGATACATTCAGCTTTCAAAAACTACAGGCTCAGTTTCACCAGTCAAATCTGTTAATATGTTTGGTAGTGGAAATCAAGTACAAATCAGGCTATTTACACAGGTTTTATTTTTAAATCATGCATTCTGAACAGAGTTCTAATCAATTTTCAGGAGGTACACATTAGACTGCAATAGTTCAAAATTTGACAACTCCAACCTCCATTTTACACTGTGGATCAGACCATGTTTCAGATCAATTAAATCTTTTATTTTAAGCTCAGCTTCCACAAGTATTTGCCTTGGCAGGAAAAGCTTTTGAAAACTGTCTCTAGCAAAAAGGGAAGTGGAAACAGTCTTCTCCTTCAATCCTACAAACATACTTGCATGTGCCTAGACAGACACTCACCTTAAGGGATACTGATTAATCCAACTACTATTAGCTCTCCTCAGGTACATATTATCTATGTCATCACAACCCCTTCATGTGTCACACCTAAGCTGGCTGTGAGCTTCAAAAGAAAAATTATAGCATCCCAGCAATTTCAATATGTATCTTGCTGTTATGGAATCATCTGAGTAGCTGTTTTTGCATCTAACTCACTCTCATATATATCTATTATTGTAATAAGTTAACCAATCTGGCATTAAGGTGCTGGCAGCTGAGGTGAAAATAACCAACAGAACACTATTTAATCATAGGTGTTAATATTAAAACTGATGCCATTTAAGACTCTTGGAAACATGCATAAAATTTAGGACGGTAGTTCCACTTAAAGATTAATTTACACCCTATATGAATAGAATTAATGAAAACAGTTTCTCCAGGATTAATGCACCTATGTTTTGCTACTAATGGTCCAGTGAAAGGAATGGAGGCAGGACTGATATGGAACTGTGAAGCCATGTGACAAAACAACAGATTCAAATTTGGAGTCTATATAGAATGGTAAAGGTGCTAGTGCAGAAAAAGCCAGTTTACAGCACAAAAATCCAAAGCAATAAAAATACCAGAGATAATGTTGACAGATCAACATGGAACCTGAAAACAAGCTGATCCACATTTCTTCAATGCTATTGCACAGCAAATAAAAGGAATTTAAAATCAGTAGTTAAAATGTCTGCTTTATTTCTCAAGCTTACCCATCCACTTCCCAATTTCTTAAGAAAGGCGTTCCTATATTCTTCCCAGTCCGCAGGACATGCTCAGATCAAATATTTACTGTAATTACAATGTTTCCCTTCTGATATTAGATTCCAACTTGTTTTACATTCATACTGAAATCTCTACTCAAGAGTATGTGAATTCTTGGATCTCCTTTTCACTCATTTTAATATTGACACCTGCCAGCGATTTACAGCTTAAATAACCAAAGTTTAAAAAAAAAGTGTTATGATGGATTTGAACAATAGTCAACACAGCAAATATTTGTAACTTTGCCATTTGAAAGAGCTAACAGGTAGGTGGAGTTGCTGTATTTGGGATATCAAGTTTTTTTTAAAATCAAGAATGCTTCAAAGACAATCTTTGCTCCATCTACACGGTAGCTACATTTTTCAAAACAAATTAAAAATTAGATCTTATATAGAAGTTCTTTCAACTTTTCTAACTGAGATGAATTCCATTTCTTTTTGGAGAAAAACGGATTATTTTACAGAAATTGATAAAGATGTGAAAACATTTTGGGTGATGTGGAACAAAGCCGCAGACTGGAGAATTCAATTTCTGGTTGATTAAATTAACCAATCAGGACGGAAGTAGAAGACCAAAAATAAAACAAATGAAAAAAAAAGCATATTTATGCTCAAGACAGCCAAAAATCAATCTTTACATTTTTTTCCAATCTGATTTCTTGCTAATCTATTTTAACAGGTTGCTAATACGCCGCGTGCAATGACAGCTGACAGTTGCAGAAAAGCCTAAAGTCACAAAGATACAAATTGACGTCATGATCACTAACAACATAGGTAGGAAATCTCAATCTCAGTTTTCTAAGAAATCATTGTACCCCTGTTTAACAGGAAGTTATTAAATGACAGATAGTGATTCAATTTCAGAGGTGATAACTGAAAAAATACTCTGAACTGATGCACACACCAATAATAAAATGAAAGCAAAACATTAAGAGTAGCTAGGTGTTTGTCATTAACATGAAGTAACATAACTGCCAACATGCAATATACATAATATGGTCACTGCTGGTATCTTAATGGAAATCTCTTTTCAACCTCATATATTGAACCTTAAGTAGCCATACTGACAATTAATAAAGCCAACGGGTCACATACTTTAGTAATGCACTTAATTTTTCCAGGAACAAAAATTTATTGCCTATTCTGGTGTCCTATTCATTAACTATTAGAACCTAAAAGTAACTTTGCATGTTTTATGACTCAAAGTGGTTGGTGAAGAGAGTATGGCTGGAATTACTGTTACCTCTATAACAGCTTATTTTGAAGTTTTCATATGGACAATTTCATTTATCAAAATAATTTAAAATTACAAAAGAATGTATGTTCCACTTAAGAAAATTGGCTCAAGTTTATAGTTTTAAAATGGTTAGGGAAGTCATTAGAATAGATCAATTTACTATTGCTTTATCAACTCAAAATTAAACTTGGACTTCAGCTTTTAAAAAGAGTTATCCAAAATAAATGAAATGTACAACTGTTCCATTAAGATAGTGATGTCATCAGATTAGACTGTCCATTAAATGAAATGGATCAATTATTACTGAATAACTTTTGCAGAGTGATGAAAGGAGAATTACTGTAATTCACATTCTTGATGAGGTGAGTGTTATCTTGCAGTTAGTACTGCTACATACATAACTAAGCATGAATGCTCAACATTAACATCAGATATTAGAAATACCTACTTTACCTCCATTCTGTAGGATCAGGATAAATCAGATAAAGCACAGATCCTCCATTTAAATAATGGCGATATATTTCATTTGTTAGAGACTGCATTATGAAAATATTTTTAATCCTATATGTTCATTCCTTCAACACACCATAATAGAAAACCAACTTTCTTCCTTTGCATTAATTGGTTTCATATTAAGCAAAGAAAGTAGTCACGCATTTCCCATTACCAATACAACTTATTTGTCGAATGTTAATTTCACGTGATCCTGCAAACATACTCCAGCTTATATACTGTGCATACAAATCAGCGTATACAGTTAAATCTAACTCCCCTCAAAGATCAGAACCATTTGCCATGTTTTGCAGTAGCTCAGTTTGAAATTGCAATTTCTGCTCTGCCCTATACATTTATTGAAACAGCAGCACTTTTGCAGTTACATACATTAAGAGCATCAAGTATACATACTATCAATTGACCAAGACATTCTGGACTTTCAGTCTGTCCAACATATTTTGATTCTGATAAAATTAAATAGAAATTCTCTTCTCTTCACCCACCATTTAAAAGCTCAACTAAGATGGCAGCTGGAAACCATACCTATAAAAAAAGGTTAGTGGAGCAGTTTTCCTTTGTATTGGAAAATACAAACCATTTTCAAAAAAAATTCCAAAGTTTTAAGCCACTTTTGAATATCACACGGAAAAGGGGAATCATTTTTTGCTTAGAAGCCATTTTCCATCAATCCTCAGTTTTAGTTAGGTAAATCTCAAGATTTAAATTACAGTATCCCTTTTAATTCATCCATATATAGAATCAGAAACTGCCCAAAGTATTTGTTGTTCCTTTAATCCGAATTGTCTTGAAGATACCAAATTAGTGCATTGATTTACTTACATCAGCAGTTCTGTAATTTTAAGTTAATAAAACTGAATAGGCTTCAGTTTGTTTTAATCTTTTAAGAAAAGGAACTTCCAAAGATTCAATTGGACCCAATCATCAACTGACAAATGCTAATCATCTGGCACAAAAAAAAAACTTGTGAACCCAATTTGAAGTAAAAACCTCCAAAAGTAATTACATAATTTAATAACTGTACAAATGCATATCATAATATACATGAAGTTGACCGAGAAATACTAAACTTTGTCATTGACCTTTAATGCAATAGACTTTGAGGAGGCTGAAATGTTTGACTGCTAATAGTTTGCAGGTATGTTCTATGGAAATTAATCTTGCAATAGGAAAATAAAGAGGGGACCAATAATTAAACTCTTTCTGTTCTAGAGAAGTGAAAAAGTAGCATTTGCTAAACTAGTCAGTGCAGATGAAATTGTATCAAAGTATTAGTTTTGCGGACTTGTATAAAAATGTGATTCAAACTTTGAGACTGTTAAGATTATTTAAAAAATAATATGTTTTTGAAAAGAATCAAGGCAGGAAGTCATATTGCTCAAGAGAACAATGACGTGACTAAGATTCTTTGCTGCAAAATCAGATTGTCGCGGACACTTAGACCTCTATCAAAATTCAGCAAGTGAACTGACTGGCACTGTTTTCTGACTAAGCAAACATCAGCAATCCTCACCCATTAGAAGTAGATTTTGGATGAGAAAGCACTGAAGGTCATCATCCAATTAATTACTTGTATTGTTTACAAGTTAAATGCCAAGAGAGGGCAAAAATGCTTTTTAAGACCGTGGTACATTTTATTGAGATCCGTTGTTGAATGGTTTGAAAATTATTACAGTATAGAACCTACTGCAACCAATTTATAATGCTCTCCCCTTCAAGTTCCTAATAAATGTGTGGTAAGTAGTTGAAAACAATAGCTTCTTATGTGCTGAAATCTTGCAAAGCTGCTGGGCACATACTGACAAACTGGTTCACTTTTCTGTGCAAATGTTCCAAGTTCTGCAAAGATCAGTGGGGTAAAGCAGGAAGATGTGTAGTGCGTACCACAAGCAGATACTCCAACGATGAACATGATGGTGATAGAGACTAATATGGATGTGTTTTGAAAAGTGATTAGCATTTGTAGGCATGATATTCCTCAGACTTTGTTCATTAATTTTGCATCTCGCATTGAGGGCTGATATACATGTTATGATGTTGTGCATAAGGGCACTCTTAGGATATGACGTTCCCAAAGATTTACCAAAATCCACTTGTGGAAAAGAGGTCGTTGCCATCCAAACAATCACTGCCACGACTGAGGGGGAAAGTTATTTACTTCTGCTAAATCTTGCACTGGTGATCCATTAAGGTTATACGTGATCTTTATCCTCATGCGAAGTTGTTGCTATAAAAAAAAAGACAAAGACAAACTGATCAACATTAAAGGAAAAGTTAAATAGTCATGCAAGGCACTGGACCAGGAACCCATAAGTTGTAACATCATACTCTCTCAGTTGTGAACTTGAGCTTAAAGCCAGTCAGTAACTTGCAGACTACAGCCAGAAGCAATGGCCATGAAATTACTGATATTTGTGGGAATTATGTAATTGGGTACCTGCTAAACCAACCATTGGCAATCTGTGACTGGTTTGCATTAAATGGCTGAGCAAGCTATTCAATTGTAAAACCATTGCACTGTGCTCATCAAAATAGAGGTGAACAATAAATGTGATTCAATGTGGTCCAAAGCATGTGAATAAAGGAAAATAATTAAGAGATTTAGCTGCAAGATGACTATTAATCTGGGTATCATTCAGTTTAAAAGACCTTTACTAAAGAGAAAGCAAAAGTTTAAAAAATCCGACAAAAAAAAAACAAAAAGGGAATTCCAATAAGGATATCATTCCTGATGACTTTACTTTTAAAAAAAAAGTTGAAACTTTAACCATTAAATGAGTTACTCAAAATTTCGCTACATAAGAAGAGCACTGTTATTTGCACCATCTAACACAATTAATTATCATCCATTCCACAGACGAAGAGATTTCAGCATATGAGACAAGCATTTAACTTGTTCCGTATTGTTCACTCAAACTGATATACAGTTGCATCTTTCAGCTTTTGTTTTATTTTAAGGAGATTCTCAGCCATTTTCTTATACTGCAATCAATTCAGCACAATTATTCCAGCAAAACTATCACATTCTGCACCTTGTCATATGAAAATGCTACTGCAGTTTTGATCCCATCCGTTCTGTACCCATTTCTTGTCTTCAATTTACCAACTTAGGGGGAGGCAATGAACTAGTGGCATTATCACTGGACTGTTAATCCAGCAGCTGCAGGTAATGTTCTGGTGACAGAGGTTCAAATCCTGCCATAGCAGAAGATGGAATTTGAATCTAATAAAAAAATCTGGAATTAAGAATCCAACGATGAAATCATTGCCGATTGTCAGTAAAAACCCATCTGGTTCATTAAAGACCTTTAGGGAAGAAAGCTGGCATTCCTTACCTGGTCAGGCCTACATGTGACTCCAGACCCACAGCACTGTGGTTGAACTCTTAAATGGGCAATTAAAGAATAAATGCTGGCCTAGCTGCTGATGTCCACGTGCCATGAATGAAGAAAAAATCGTTGGAGATTATCTGTCTATTGTCTATTTCTTATTTAATCTTTTCAATTGCAAGGCATATATTTTGTTTTTAAAAAAGTAATGACCCTCAGGGTATGGACGTTTTAGCAAAGCTGACGAAGATGGATGTTTCCAGTAGTTTCCTGGCTATTTTTAATCTCAGTCCAAACTCTCAAAAAAACTATGGTGGGATTTGCATTTGTGTCCTGAATTACCAGTCAAGACTGATCCAGAAAGATTAGATTATCCTCCAGCCATTCTTCATTACTTGGACCTGACACTTGTGTTATTAACCTGGTCTAAATTTCCATGCTTCTTTACATCTATCAGATTCTTCTTGTAATTACATTTTAAAAAACTACATACGACATTCCAGATAAGTCTGGTTAGTATTTTGCACACAGAGCAGTTGGCAGCATTTTTTGTATTTGATCCCTACAGAATAGAATCATAGAATTTTACAGTACAGGAGGCAATGTGACCCAGTCTGTCTGTACAGGCTCCCAAAAGAGCACCCTGGCTAGTCCCACTCTCCAGCCCTATCTACACAACCCTCCAACTTCAAGACTTTCAAATATATATCCAGCTCTCTTCTGAAACCTTCTATGGAATCTACCTCCACCACTCTCCCAGACAGCACATCCCAAATGCTAACAACTGAGTAAAGAAGTTTCTCCTCATCTCACTCCTAGCTCTCTTGCTGACAATCTTGAAATTGCGACCCCAAGTCACTGACATCAACTAGTGGAAACAGAATATCCTTGTTTACCCTGACGAACTGTTCATAATTTTGAACACCTCAGTATGGTCACTTCCTCATCTTCTCTGCTCCAAGGAGAAGAAGCCCAATGTCTCATCTTTCCTTATATCTAAAATCCTTCATTCCTGGTATAATTATAGTAAATCTCTTTCAGACTCTCCAGGGCTTTAACATCTAAACTTAAAATTGGTACTGAGAACTGTGATCTGACCAGTGATTTGCACAGGCGTGGGTAGCATCACTTCCTTGATTTTATACTCTATACCTTTGTTTATAAACCCTAGGATCCTATAAGCCTTCTAAACAGCTGTTCCAACTTGCCTGGCTACCTTCACAGAATCAGGCAGGTGAACCCCAGGGTCCCTCTGTCCCTACACTCCTCTCAAAGTTGCATTATTGAACCTGTATTGTCTCCATTTTTCTTCTACCAGAATACATTACCCAACACTTTTCTGCACTGAAATTCACTTGTAAGGTGTCTACTCATTTGGCTAATTTGTCAATATCTCTCTGAAGTTGCACAGTATCATCCTTACAATTCTCCCTGGATTAGTATCATTTGCCAATTTAGAGATTTTGCCCTCAACACCCATCTCCAAATCATTTTTATAAACCAGAAAAGCAAGGTTCCCAATATCAATCCCTGGGGAACAGCACTTTCAACTTATCTGAGAAATGCTCATTTATACCTACCCTGTTTTCCTATTTTTTTAGCCAACTTCTAAATCCATGCTGCCAAGGATTCATCAATCCCAAACATTTCTAATTTGCAAACCTATCTGCAATGTAGCACCGTATGCTTTTTGAACGTCCAAATATACAACACCCACACTACTACACTCATCCACTGCCTGGGTCACCTCGAAGAACTCAATTTGTCAGACATGACCTGCCCTTGACAAAGTCATATTGACTGTTTGGTACTAACATTTTCTCCAAGTATATATTTACCTTATCCTGTATTATGGCCATCAATTTTTCCACTTCTACTCTAGTTTCCTGGATCATCCTTTGTTCCTTTTGTTAACAATGGTGTCACATTTGCAATCCTCCAGTTCCCAGAGACTAATTCTATGTTCAGAGAGGCCTGGAAAATTTCTGTCAACGGTTCCACAATTTGCTCCCTTAATCTCAGCAATCTAGGATGCATACCAACCTTAGTCATCCAAGGTATTCTCGCTTTGGATACCTGTATTTATTTTTCATGGTAATGCACCTAGCTTGCACCCTATTCAAAAGCAGAAATTGCTGGAAAATCTCAGCAGGTCTGACAGCATCTGAGAAAAGAAATGAATTAACATTTTGGGTCTGGTGACCCTTTGTTTTTGTTTCTGATTTACAGCATCCGCAGTTCTTTCGGTTTTTGTTTAGTACTGCACCCTATTCATCTCCCTTTTGAAACGCTCCCATTTTTCATCCACTGTTTTATCCAACAAAATATGTTTCCAATCAATGTACTCCAGTTCAACTTTTAGGCCCCTAAAATCTGCCTTTTTCCAGTCTGGGAGTCTTAATCGTTGACTGATTTGTATCCTTTTCCAACACAAAATTGAATCATTATTACGTTATAATTGCTATTTCCCAAATACTTCCCCCACTCTGATGTTTTACTTGGGTTGTTTCATTTCCTAGGACCAGATCTAGCACAGCCCCCTCCCTGGGAGGTCTGGAAACGTACTGTTCCAGGAAGTTCTCCTGCACACATCGCAGGAACTTCTCCCCTTCCGTGTCCCATACACTACCTTTTTCGCAACCTATCCGAGTGTAACTGAAAGCACCAACCACAATCCTGTTTGTCCTGCAGATTTCCATAATCTGCCTACAAATGCTCTCTTCAACTTCCTCCCCATTATTTGGAGGTCTATAATAAAACACCTAACAAGGTCACCGCTCCATTCCTGTTTCTTAACTTCAACCATATAGATTCTAATTTGGCAACTACATCAAGGGCAATTACACTACCTTTCACAAAGGCTGCTATATCTTTCCCCTTTTACCCACCATGGTTTCTACTAAAAGCCTTATAACCCAAGTAGTTAAGTATCCAGTCATGTTCTGGCTTAAACCACGTTTCTGTCAATGTTACTATGTGATATCCGCCAAAGCAATTTCTGCTTCCAGTTTCCCAAGTTTGATCACAACACTCTGTGCTTTTACATATATGCAATTTAACTCTTCCCTTATCTCTCCCTTGTCCATTGGAAGGCAATCATTTTCTGCTCACTGGCAATATTGGAGCATTCCCTCAATGCCTTCTCCTCATTCACCATCTTCTCTCTTTTGTACTCTCTGGTCGTTCAAAACTAGGCCCATTCCACCCTCATTACACTATTTACTTCTCAACTGGGAGATTAGTTCTTTTTCTGCTCAGGTGAAGCCCATCACTTCTGAACAGCTTTCTCCTTTCCCAAAAATGATCTCAAATGCCTCTCCTTCTATACCCCTTGAGGGGTGCCTCAAGTCATACATTTATCTCCTTGATCTGCCTTTGCCTAAATGGTGAAGCTCATGGCACAGGTAGTATGGAGATTACTGCCCTGGAGGTCCTGCATTTCAATGTACTCATGAAATTGATCCTGCAAGACCTCCAAGCTGTTCTTGGCTCCCACGTGAACCACTATTAGTTTTTGTTCACTCTCCCTTCCCAGAAGTTTATCCAGTCATTATGTTCTGAACTCTTGCACCCAGGAGGCAACAGACCACATGGGACTTCATGATCTCAGCTGCAAACAAAACTGTCTATCCCTCAAACAACTGAGACCCCCATTCCTACTACCTTACTAATCTGCCTACCAGACTCTCTTTTCCCAAAGTAGCCTCAGGGACCATGATACTGTGTTTTCTCTCATGTCATTCACCATTGGCTCAGTCATGCTGCTCAACAGACAGACATCTAAAATTTCACACCTGGACCTGCTGCCTCTGCCTCTTGGGGAATGGTCACCCATTCACCTGCCTCTCTACACCCCTCCTTGCCTATCATGATGTGGAGTGACCACTCCCTCAAACAACTGATCCAAAAACTTCTTTTCTTGTATGGTTTGTAGTGAGGAGAGTCACTACTTAAATTCAGCTATATGCTGTTCAACAACTGCTACCCTCTGGCACATCACACAGATATGACTGTCCTGATGTCTTGCGGATCCAAAACCTCCCACACATTTTACATCTCTCCAGCAAAAAACAAACAAACAAACAAACAATCTACAGTCAGTCCCTGGGTTGCAGAGAATAACGAAGGAAAACAAGTGAGCTTTCAAAGTAGTTCTTCCAGGTCACTGTGCCACAATACCAAGGAGCTGAATGAATCCACCTTCTCCCATTGTTAAGCAGCTAGATCTCCAGTTGAATAATTCCTGGAAAATGGCTATGTCCCAGATCAAAAATAAATCACCAAAGATTTTTGCTAATTGCAGCCACCCGTTGGCCTAATAAGAAATGGTTAAAAGTTTTTGCGCACAGACACCATTAAACAATTAAAAATTTACTATTAAGCTAACCAAGGTGCACCAATGAAACTAGTAAATGATGTAGCATAGTTTTTGTTATTTAAAACCAAAGACATTGATCAAAAATGTTAATTATTTGATAAAGCCATTTTAACTGTATTAGTAAAGCTGCATATCATGAAGGATAAATTTTTAATACAAAACATTCTAAGACCACCTCTAAATCATGCTGGTTCATGGAGAATTTGACACAATGTAAAATGAGTTTGAATGGGAATTTGGATGGATGTGAGTGGCTCACTACAAAGTTGTATTAATTTTCAGGAGAAAGTTGATTTCTGCTTTTCCACTGTGAGAGGAGTGAAGAGAAACAAGGTTCATCACTGCACAGCAAATACAGACAAGTTATTTTTTATGTGGAAGTGGCACTGTTAGCAATGTCTGAATCAGATGTTGGTGAATAGTATGTCATACAAAGTACATATTTTAACAAATGTAAACAAAATGCGACATATTAAAACGTACACTTCATTCACAACATGCTTTGGCAAGTGGATGCCTGCAGAACAACATTGTCGTATGCTCTCTGAACGACAACCCAAGTTAGGTTAGATGGAGGGTCTAGAACTTGCGGTATTGAACTTTAATATGACTCCTTAACATCTCATTTCTTACCCTTAAATGTATCTAGGTGAAGCATATTGGCATGCAAAAAACAAAAAAAAAAACTCAGCCTAGTAAAGTAACAGCCTTGCTTAAATTGCAAAGATAAAAAAACTAACACTATATTTGAAACCATGAAGTGCAGCAATGATTTTAACAAACAACACTGCGCTTAAATAAACTTGAAGTGACAGAGATACACAAGTTATAAACAATGCCTTTGGATCACGGAATGAGTTTTATGGATGTGACCATTATTGTTTCTAATATAGCTGAGATTATAATTTATCTTGAACGTACGATTAAAAGTTATTTTTATCAGGAGAATCGATAACCAGAAAAACATGTTTCAATTCCACACATTTCAAGTTAAATTTTACTTTTAGTAGGATTTCACTGATAAAATCACTTTGAAAAGTGTCAAAAATTTGATAATTCAGAGTAAAATATATTTGAATTTCACTTTTTTCTCCTACTAAATAAGAATAATTAAATTATATACAAATTATTCATTCTGTAAGTGAAACTTGACAATTTGACTTAGAAATGCTGAATTTTTGTCTTGCAACTCCCAATACTTATTTTAGGTAAAAACGTTTTTGAAAAGCCTCTTCGTGCAAAGAAAGCCAGATCAGGACTAGAAAGACAGCACCTAAAGATTTTTCAATTATTGTCAAGAATCTCATACAAATTGAAATTTATTTGAAATCTATGACATACCTTCTGTGGATTAAGTACTTTAATAACCTGTGTAACAGCTCCTGCATTTCGTGCTGGAATTATGTTATTACTTGGAGAAAGAAGCTGCAGCTGAAATGTCTGCAGAATTTAAGAGATAGATAACACTGATATTAGCATTCAAAACAGACAACAAATCACAATGTTAACTAATATTAGAAGTATCTTGGGTTTATTTGAAATATACAATTGGAACAGTTAACTGAACATGTGGGTAAAACAGCATTGTTAGACAAATTCCTATTATTTCAATTATAAGACAAAAATCAGAACCGTCAAGATCAAAATGATGACTGTGGTGATGCTTTCCTCGATTGTGCATTTAACAATTCTCTTACAAAGGTTGTCACTTCGCTATCTTCATATGCGAACGTTAAAGCATGGAAACAAAACATTTGCTTAATTTCAGCTGAATGATTGCAGGAAGGCCGATTATCTGAATAGCCATAAATTTAGACAGGGGAACGTGCAACAAGACATTGGTATTCTCATGCACCAGTCACTGAAGGTAAGCATGCAGGTGCAGCAGGAGGTAAAGGCGGCAAATGGTACATTGCTGTTCAGTGAAAAGAATTCCAGTACAGCAGCAGGGATGTCTTGCAGCAACTTATACTGGGACTTGGCGTGACCGCATCTGGAATAGTGCGCAGTTTTTGTCTCCTTATCAGAGGGAGATTCTCCTTGTTATAGAGGGAGTACAGCGAAGGTTTACCAGATTGATTGCAGGGACAACAGCAGTGAAGTATGAGGGGAGGCTGAATCAGTTACGATTATATTCACTAGAGTTCAGAAGTAATGAATGAGGATTGCATAGAAACCTATAAAATTCTTACAGGTCCAGACAGACTAATTTCAGGAAGGGTGCTCCTGATGACAAGTGAGTCCAGAACAGGGTAACAGTCTAAGGATATGGGATAAACCATTTAGGACTGACAGGAGGAGAAATTTCTTCAGAGAGTAGTTAGCTTGTGGAAATTGCTACCACAGAAAGCAGTCAAGGTCAAAGCACTGTATGACTTCAAGGAGAAGTTCGATACAGCACTTACGGCTAAAGAGGATGGGGGTGGAGAACAGGATAGAGTAGGATGATCAACCATTTTCATAAAAAAAAAATGGTAGAGCAGGCTTGAAAGGCTGAATGGCATATTTCCTGCTATTTTCTATGTTTCTAAGCCATTTTCTTAAAAAAACCTTGGCCTAACAGTACATTAAACCAGGTAAATACATACCTTTGGTACTGCAGCTTGAAATACAAAGTCAGTCATGTCTCCATCTGTGGAGTTGGTAGCACTAATTGTAACAACTGTTACATTGGGATTTGTGTTGGAACGTTCAAAGTTGAACTCTATTTTCAAACCACCTTTACAGTATGCTGTGACAGGAGGAATGCCTATGGAATAATAATATACATTTAGCGACAACACAGCATTTCCACTATCAACATGGAGGTCAAATTTTTCTGCTGTTCAACTGTTCATTAGAGGTATTTTTCTTGACCAATGGCCTGACCAGTTCAACACCAGTCCAAACATTGAGCAACATGCCCTTTAACTTGACTCAAACACTCCAAAGAGGTGCTGGTGAGTATTTATACTGGCTCTAATTAGGTCTGCAAGGAATGCTCATTGTTCCACTTTTCCCTGGGTGCCTTGTTAATCTCTTTTGCATGTACAAGAGCACAATTGCCACTTCTGGCTCTCACATGGAACTGAAAAAGTCATCAGCTGTTCCCGGCTTTTAGCCCTCCTATATCTTTCACATGATCCATCTCCAATTCTTTTCTTCCTTTCCTCAACTCCTTCAACTCAATTTCTGGAAGTTACCTATCATTACCCATGAGTTCCTCAACCAGGCTTTGACAGGATTCCAATTCAGACCATCTGATTTTGCAATCTCCATCATGTCTGTTCTACAATGTCACTATCTAAACCAGAAATTCTGAATTGCTTTTGTTATTTAGCCTAACTATGCCTATTTCATTTCCTCCACTATCTTTTAATGCACCCACAAGATATTGGTGGCACCAGCATTCATCATCCATTCCTAAATACCCTAAAGTGGAGGTGGTGAGCTGTGCATGCGAACTGCTCCAGTCCTAGAAGTGCAGGTACACTCATAGCGCTGTTAGAGAGGGACTTCTGGGATTTTGATCTAACAATAGTGAAGGAACACAAGCTCCAAGTCAGGATGATGGTGTGTGGTTTGGAGGGAATCGTGCAGCTGGTGGTACTCCATGTATTGGCTGCTCTTGTCCTTCAAGGCAGTAAAAGGTTGAAAGTTTGGGAGGTCATGTTGAAAGCAGGTTTAGTGAGTTGAGTCAATGCATGTTATGGACAGTACACACTTCTGCCCTGGTTCAGGGAGTGAAAGTTAAAGGGTTTAGATGGGATGCAAATAAAGTAGTTCTTCAGTCCTGAATGGTACTGAGATTGTGTACAAACATCTAGACAAGTGGACAGTATTCCATCACACTCCTGATTTGGGCCTTATGTATAGTGGACAGGCTTTAAGTCATCAAGAGGGAAGTTGCTTGCTGTAGAATTCCCAGCCTCTGACCAGTTCTTGTAGTCAGTATTTATATGGCAGGTGCAGTTCAGTTTCTGGTCAATGGTAACCTTCAGGAAGTTGATAAAGGGGGATTCAGCAATGGTAATAACTTTGAATGTCAAGGCACAATAGCTGGATTCACTTATTGGAAGTGCCACTTCTAAGGCACAATTATTACTTGCTACTTGTCAGCCAAAGCCCGAATAATATCTCAGCCTTGCTGCATTTGTACACAGACTGCTTCAGTCTCTGATGAGCCATGAATGATGCTAAATGTTGGACAATTATCAGTGAGAGAGAACATGCCCAAATCTGACTTTATAATGGAGGGAAGGTCTTTCACATAGCAGCTGAAATGGCAGATGGAGTTCAAATTGAATAAACACAAGGAATTGCATTTTGGTACAACAAACAGGGGCAGGGCTTATACAATTAATGGTGGGGTCTTGGGTAGTTTTGTAAAACAGAGGGACCTAGGGGTGCAGGTTTGTAATTCTTTGAAATTTGCGTCACAGGTAGACAGGGCGGTTAAAAAGGCATTTGCACGCTTGGTTAGAGACAAAAAAAAACTGCAGATGCTGGAATCCAAGTTAGACAAACAGGAGGCTGGAAGAACACAGGAAGCCAGGCAGCATCTGGAGGAAAGGAGCAGTCAACGTTTCGGGTATTACCCTTCTTCTGGACTGGATGTGGGGATGGGGGGAGTTGCAGATAAAGAAATCGGACAGGCGTGGAGATGGAACTGTGGTCATAGGTGGACACTGGTAGTAGGTACGACCTGGCTGATTGATCGGAGCCAGGTCTCACCTACTACCAGTGTCCACGTATTACCACTGTTCTACCTCCAACCCTGCCCCCTCTTTATATAGCACGCTTGCCTTTATTGCTCAGTCCTTTGAGTAAAAAAAAAAGTTGGAAAGTCATGTTGAGGTTGTACAAGACATTGGGGAGGCCTCCTTTGGAGTCCAGTTCTGGGTCACCCTGTTATAGGAAGGATATTAAGCTAGAGAGGGCTCAGAAGAGATTTACCAGGATGTTGCCAGGCATGGAAACTTTATGTTATAAAGAAGGGCTGGATAGACTGACCTTTTCTCCCACCGGAACGTAGGAGGTCGAGAGGTTTGTAAAATCATGAGGCATTTAAATAGGGTCAATAGTAGGTGTTTTTTCCCCGGCAGGGGGGAAGCAATTTTTTGTTTAACATAGAAGATGGTTTGCACGTGGAATGAATTTCCTCAAGAAGTGGTGGACGTGGGCACAGTTACAATGTTTGAAAGACATTTGGACAAATACATGAATAGGAACGGTTTGGAGGGATATGGACCAGGAACAGGCACAGTTTAGTTTGGGATTATGTTCAGCATGGACTGATTGGGCCAAAAAAAGTCTGTTTCTATGCTATAGGACTGAAAATGGCTGGACTGAGGACACTACCTTGGAGGAACCCTTGCAGTGATGTCTTGGAGCAGAGAGAACTGTCTCCAACATCTGCAACCATTTCCTTCTGTACTCTGTATAACTTCGATTAGTAGAGTTTTCCACTTGATTCTCAGTGAATTCATTTTTGCTAGAGCTACTCGATGCCACACTTGATCAAATGAGTGCCTCATCTACTTCTTCCTGGGCAGACAATGAAGAGTTCTCAAATCTATCTGCAGACTCTAGAATCGACAGATTGTTTGCTATTGCTGCCAAACAGCAATATACCGCCAAACACGTTGATGCCCATCCCCTTTTTGCAATCCTAAGGGACCAATTGCCACATAATACATTATATGAGCAACTACTGGAGAGTGGACAACCAGCAGAGATGTAGCATCTATCCTATCAGGGTTCCAAATGTTCATTTTGGAGTGATTCACTTGCACTTAGTTCAACTTTTTAATTGCAGAATTGCAGCTTCTACACTGACGAAATCAAGCGTAGATTAGATGTCTGCTTTGTGAAACATCTTTCAGTAAGCAAATCAGAACTTGAAATTCAAACCATTCACCATTTTAACTCAACATGCATTCCTCTTGGCTATTGCCTAACCACTGGCAGCTATGCCTTTAGCTGCCTAGGCCTTAAGCTCTAAAACCTTTCCAATTCCCTAGGTTTAAGAAAGTCCTCAACATCCCTCTGGCAAATGTTTGATCACATAGCCATGTGGCTCAATGCCAAAATTTATTTGGACTTTGGGATATTTAACCACGTTAATCGTATAAATAAACACAAGTTACTGTTGTTTATCCTTATCCTATAATATTTCACAACAACTCAATGCAAGTTGGAGAAAAACCCCATATTCTTATCAGGTACATTACACCCCCTATCTCAACAATGTTTTGAATAATTTTGAACAATATATACAATTTTTTCTTGGGCAGCAAGTGCTATTCTCCCGTCACCGTCAATTTTGTATCCGCAATACCATTCTCGCTGTTATTCCACAGGTTTTCAACTTTACTGGCAAACCCATTACGTTGCATATTTTCAAACACCTTTAGTAGGGGCCACAAACTGAATACTAATTGCATTAACTTTAGAAACACCCCCACTAAAATCAAGTTAGTTAAACATGACTTGCCATTAACAAATTGCACTGGCTTTCCTCAATTATTCCATCTTAGTCCAAAACTGTTAATTTTGTCACTCCTGTCACTAAGGTTTGGCTGGTTAGTCTGTAAGCACTAGGTTTAGCCTTACAAACTTTTTTAAGCAAGGGTGTAAGATTTGCAATTCTCTCAACCACCACCCCATATATTTGAAGAATACTGCCATAATGTCTTTCTTACTTTCTTCATCATTGAGTGTACCCGATTCTGTCCTGGTGCTCAATTTTAAGGACAGCCAGTTTTCCTAATACCATCTATCTAGTATTTCAACTGCCTCCTCTAATGTTATACCTTTGCCATCACCATCAATACTCATTTAATATCTCAGTCATGCCCTCAGCCTCCATAGAACAGTCCCTCTCCTGGTCCCCAAGTGGGCCCACGTATTTTAATAACACACTTTTACCATTAAATGCCGAGAAAAGAACTTTTGGATTCATTTTGTTGGCTCCCAGTCTCTTCTCATACTCTGTCTCTGACTTCCTTATTTTATTTTCCATGGCTGCTCCAAACTTTTTATATTCAGCCTGGCTCTCACTTCAATCATGAAGTGTTACAGACACCCTTTTACTGCTTTTATCTTACTCTTTCTTCCATCATCCACAGAGCTCCAGCTTTGCTTGTCCTAACCTTTCCCAACATGTGAACGTATCACAACCTACCAGAACCATATTCTTTAAAAGCAGCTTATTGCAGGTAGGGCTGCCAACCTTGGATTCCAATTTAACTGGGCCAGATCATTTCTTGTCCTAATGAAGGATTCTCATAAAATGAAACTACCTTTACTTTGGATCAATCCTCGCTGTTGACTTGCCTCATTCCCCAAAACCAAATCCAGAAATATTCTGATCAAGAAAATTCTCCTGAACCTCAACAGCTTTTCCTCCTCTCTTTACTCTGTTACTATCCAAACCTATACTCTGATAATTAAACTCCTCCATTTTAAAACACTGCCATTTTCATACCTCCAATTTCCTTACAAATTTGCTCCTCTGTTTTTCTTATTAGATGGTGGTCTGTATGATATTTTATCAACACCACTTATGCTCTCCCTTTCTTTTCCCAACTTTTCTGAACGCCTTGTTTTCATGTTATTCATACCTAGTCTGGCCCTTTCTTCAGTCACGCTACATTACTATAGCATCATATCCACTTTTGCTCACTCACCTTATTTATCAGATTCCAAGTATTTACATTCTTGCAATAATTTGGAGCTTAGTGTGCCCCCTTTTAATGACCTCACCAATGATTCATTACTTCTAACTCTACTGTTATCATCTCTCCTAACTGATTCTTTAAATACCTTCTTTCTCCTTCCTATCATTGCATCCTGGTTCCCAACCTTCAAATTAGTTTAAACTCCAACAGTTTAAACTGGGAGTACACTGGCCCATTTCTATTGAAAGGCAGTTAGCTTGTACATGTCCCTTTTTCTCCACAACCTGTCACAATGTCCCAGGAATCCAAAATTCTTCTCTGGCTGCACCAAGTCTCCAGGTGCACGTATATCTGTTCTATCCTCCTATTTTTATACGCATTAGCTCCTAGTACTGGTAATAGTCTGGAGATTAATACTTTTGAGGTTCTACTTTGTTCAACTCCCTAGACTCTGACTGATATCTTGTTCTCCTCCCATTCCCTGGCTTTGTACTTGGAGAAGCCATTTGTTTCCACTATTGCTAGTTCTGATACAAGGTGATTAATCTGAAACAGAAGCCTCGTTTCTTCGTCTATGGAAGCTGGCTGACCTGAATTTTGCAGCATTTCGTTTTTATTTCAGATTTCTAACATCTGCAGTGTCTTTACAACTTTCAGTATTCCAAGACACTTTCATGAAAACCTATGCTAATCCTCTGGTCTAGATGAATTACATTCATGCACTTCAAAAGGACTTGGTTTGAGGATCAAGTGGCAACTCACTACCATCTTCAAGGCCAAACAGGATGGTTAATAAATGTTGGTTGTGCCACTGACAAATAATTCCCAAAAATAAGTTAAGAAGTTCTTTTGGATGAGAGCCGTGAATTGACCACATGGAACTATTCCATGATATTTTCACGTGAGAAAAGTACTGAGAAATAAATTTTGACCATTCCAAGTGGGGAAAAAAAAAATGTACCTGAAGCTAGATCATTGAAGACTTGCTGTGATGCTAGACCATCTAACAGAAAGGGAGGCTGTGAAACTTGTGGTGCTTGGACATTTATTGGCATGGTTCCACCTGCAAATTAAAATCACAACTTAGATGATCTATCAAAAGTACTTTCTGAAACAGTAGCTGTGAAATAGCCATATTTTAGCATAAACGATTCTAACTAACTTGGTCTAGAACATTTATGGGAATGTTTTGTACTCAAAGACCACAAGATTTTTTAAAGAAACATTGCATAACATATTACAAGTACAAATACAGGTTTTGTGTAACAATTATAAAACAAACATATTAAAAAGTGACTCACCACTGGATGCATTCTTTTCAAAAATAATTTTTTTTCATATAGCATGGGTACAAACTGTTAGTGCAGTATTTTACTGAGAAGTTGTGGTGTCTTAAACTCATGAAGAATATATTTGATTTGGGTGGGGTCAGGGAAGCAGCAAAGGCTGCCTCTTAAGAGGAGAGGTAAAGTAGAATGGGCCAAACAAGATTGGAAGAGAATGGGTGCCTTCTTGAAACAAGGTTTCAAAGGACTTGATAGGGTGAATGTTGAAAGGTTTTTCACCCTAGCTGGAGGTCTAGAACTGGAGGGGCTTAATGTCAGGATAAGGGATTCACTATTTACAGTGGAAATTGGGGTTCAAGAAGCAACATAGCCTCACTGCCTAAAATTCTAAACTTCTACCAATGAACCATAATAGAGAGAGTGATGTTCTTAACAGTTCAGAAGATCAGGGTGGTAATAGATATTTGACCCAGAATATCAGCTGTTTCATCACAAATACTGTCTGACTCGAGTCTATTCAGCATTTTGCTTCTCTTTCAGATTTTCAGCATGCAGAGTAAATTGCTTTTGCATTGGAAAAAATAGCCTTATGGAATAGAACATAGTAACTTTACAGTCTGCCAAGTGAATTTACTTGCTCTGAATATGCAACACGCAATTTTCAGTAAGGAAACCTACCCAGCACAATTTGCCATGGACAAAGCTAAAACTGTCAGGTGAAGTTAAAATGCTAAGAATACTCAAGTTTGACAGCATCTTTAGAGAGAGAAATGGAGTTAATGTTATTTGTCCTTACTCCAGAGTTCCAGCATCTGTAGTAGTTTGCTTTGATCTAGAGAGGTCGCATTTTAGAAGAGGAAACTGCTCATTATCTGGCCCAAGTAAACAGCCAGGCAAGATAAGGAGTTGTGATAAAGGAATACAGATTACAGCGGAGGCTGAAACAGGTGGGATAGTGGTGAACAGTTTAAGATCATTGTTTTTTTTTACTGCTGAAGATACATGCTACATCATTGTGGAGACAATATCATTGATGAACCAAAGTTAAAAGGTGAAGGATGGTCACTGATTGTTGTGCAATGTTCAGCATAATTCATGACTCCTCAGATATTGAAGCTGTCAGCGTCCATGCACAGCAAGACCTGGACAGCATCCAGATTTGGGACGACAAGTAACATTCATGCCATCCTCAACGAAAGAAACTAACCATTACATCTTGACATTTAGTCATTACAATCACTGAATCCTGCCCCCCACACACCCCACTACCAGCAATTTTCATTGAATTGGAACTATCTGGTCTTTCCTCCGCTGTCCCCGAATCAAAATGCTGCAGCTCCCTTCCTGAAAGAACTGTGGATGTCCCTACACTCCAAGGTATGTAGTGGTTCTAGGTAGTAGCTCACCACCACTTTCTCCAGAATAATTAAGGATGGCCAACAAATGCTGGCTTGGCAATGTGTACACTCCATCAGTGAATAAAATAAAAAGCAATTTCTGAATGCAACATCACTTGTCTGAGAACAAGCTGGATTTTAAGTCTTTATTTTGAACAATAAAAAGCAGCAGGAAAGATTGTCCTTTATTGGAATTTAACCCCTTTTTGATGTGGCTGGGACAGAGGGAGATGTGCAGCTTAGGTGGACTGGACATACTAAATTTCCATTGTGTGCAGGCCAGGTGGATTAGCCATCGAATATGAAGGGTTACAGGGTTAGGGAAAGGGTACCAGGTTTGGGTGGGATACTGTTTGCGGGGGGGGGGGGGGGGCGGTGGTGTCGGTGCAGATTTGACAGACCAATGGCCTCTGATTGTGTGTGCTTTGAGACTTGTGACAAATTTTGCAAGGAGTGAAGATAGATACCTTAACTGTAGGATAGCTCTTTCAGGAGTTGATACGGACAAGATGAGTCAAATAGTCTCCTTCTGCACTGTAAAATTCTACGATTCAATGACCAAACACTGTGGTTGAAGTGTATCACTGGTCATTTTAAGGAACACCTTAAAGCAGGAACAAGAGACGCAGAAGCAGAAACATGTAGGGAGGAAATAACATTTTACCTTGTGGTTGAAGGGATGATCAGCTAAAGTGAAGCTATAGTCAAAACTGGAAATGTTCACTGGGTCTGAATTGGAGTATGGATATTTTGGAATTTTGGCACAGATTACAGAGATAAGGAAGGACCAGACCATGTATAGTTTTAAAAACAAATATAAAGACTTGAAAATTAAAAGGCATTGCTTAACTGTTAAGCTTCTTTTCGAAGGTTAAGTAGTGACAATGCTGAAACTTACCTCTGCTTTCATTTGGTTGAGCAATCATTGAAAGCAATCATTTTTGAATTGCTCACAACCTTGCCAAGTTTTAATTTTAAAGAAATTTGCAACACAAGTAACAGGTGTAGCACATCTACAAGGTTTATTTCCAATTGTACTCTTCTGGCTAATATTTTTAAACCATGCATTCAAGAAGAAAAATCTGATTACGTATACAACAAAACTAAGGAATAAAAATAAATGAACTCCTGTGCATGCTCCATAAATGCAAAAAGTTTGAAGTCACAATGATTTATGGTGAAATAATCTTGTTTAAGGTAGTATTAATATGCAAAATGATATCGTTTGAAATATATCACAATCCACATGGAAAAATATGCTGACATCCCAAGTCCCAATACTCCCAGATTGTCACAAGTTAGATTTAATCAAATTACTCAAAGGCCCCAGTTTTTATCTCTGATGTGCTACAGCTAACTGTAAACACTGACAAAATTCCTGTAATTAACTATTTATTACAAATAATTCAATTCCAACTACTGGTAAACCAATAGGAGTTATCAACTTAAAAGTCTAACTTGAATTTGACCTCTTCTTAGTCCCCTACCTATGCATGTAGACAGACAAATAAAAACGTTATTAGTGGAAAAAAAATGTTAGAGGGATATAGATCAACAGCACTAGTCCACAGGAGTCAAAAGGTGTCCTGTTGCTTCTTCCAAGTCCTAATCGTCTTATTTCCAATTGCTTTCAGTTCTTTATGCAGGCACAGGGCAGTGGCACACTAAATTGTTCAGTCTCTCAGTCACTGGTTAGAGGCAGCAAATAAGTAAAATAGCTACACAAAACAGTTCATTGCTGCTTCTCTACAAGAGGAAAGTGTTTTTTTTTGGAGAGCCTGGAGACCTTCTACTGCTGTATTGCTCACACACAGGCTGTCCGCCTGCTTAAGAGTCAGAATTGTTGTCATGCTAAGCATTCCTGATCCGTGCAACTGGTCCTGATTGAAAAACTAATCAACAGACCGGTTCCGGGAAAAGTACCCTGAACACCCATAGCATCAATGAATCCAGTAACCACTCCCAACACTTGAACAATGTAACAAAAGGGCAATCACTACCGTTCTTCCAGATCATAGGCTTACTGTCTGATTAGAGAGACAGCTGGTTTAACCTGGGGATTACCATGCCTCAGGCGAGGTGCAAGATTGAGGAGAGTCTTTATGGTAACC